GGACTTTGAAACGACGCTGCAAACCGGCGCGAAGTACGTATCCATCTGGAATCTGTCAGATTGCCAAGACGATACGGCCTCGGCCTTGGCCACTGCAGGTCTCACCTCACAGGTGCACGCAGCACTTCTCCTGCACATTTTACCCACCGATGTCCGCTCCTTCACCTAACCTAAAAATACGTCAAGGTTTGCTTGCCTTCCCGAAGAAACAGCCCTGCCCTAGCCACCCATGGACCGCCGCGGACGGACCCACACGGTGGACAAGGTCACTGGAAGGCCGCGATCACACTTTCCCATGCGTCCGGCCGGCGCCCATTTGGGCAGCCATTTGGGTACGCATTGGGGTGCCCTGTCTCCCTGCCTCTCGCTCTCAACTTGCAACCTTTTTTATGGGCTGTAAACGCCATAGGGGAGTAGGGAAAACAAACATACGATTCTGACCCCGCTCCACCCCTTCCCTGACCAGCCAATTATGGGGCCCCCCGTGGGCCCCACGGCCCCCGTGGGCCCTCCGAGGGCCCTGGAGTCCCCGTGGCGCCAGCCCCGCCAGCCCCGCCAGCCGGCGACAGTAGCCGAGAGGCCCGTTGAGGGGGCGTGCATAACTCCGGAACGTGTTGACCGTGTTGACGCACGGCCCGCAGTGTCATCTTCGGTTTGGGGCATCGGTGGCACCGTGGGCCCACCATAAACTAACCACAATAAGGCCGTACAGCAGTCCGTGTGCGTGACAGCGAGTCCACCGCGTGCTCGAGGACTTTACTGGCCAGGTACTTCGCCGGGGTGCGTTCCAGTGCACCGTTCCAGGAACACTTTCTAGCGGACGTGTTACCGGGAAAAACTACCAGCCGTATCGACTATGTGTTTATAAAATACACGAGCATAAATTTATATAAAACATTTCTTTATTTTTTTCCAGTGCAGGGGGTGCCCGTCCTGTGGCTTCCGCGGCCGGCATGTGCTTCCAGGGCTTCCAGGGCCTCCAGGGGCGTGGCAGGGTCAGGGCCGGTACCGTACATCACTCCGAGCGAACGTTGGACCCGTTTCACGTCGTGCAAGCGCCTCCTGCGAGACACTTGTGACCGCCCGTAAACGCACCAACCGCAACAAAAAAGGTACCACATATTTTCCCCTAGGAAAAATAATCAACGTAAAAATTGTGTGGTGAAAATTCGGCGCCTCCACCGCAATGGACAGAGACGTCTGCTTGGCCCATTTGTCCCCGCCGAGCCGAGCCGTGTCGAGCCGGGCCTCGTGCTTTGTCACAATCGACTAATCGACAGGGCCATCGCTAGACAACGGCGGCGATAGCGAAGCAGCGGAGCGCTGCGGAGGAACGGGGTAGGCTATCTCTTCCGGCATCGGCAGGGTATCGCCTGGGCATCGCAGGACCGGGCCGTCGTTGTCGTTAGGGAATATGAACCACTGCCGACCGGGGACACTCTCTCTCTCTCGCACCCACACGGGGCGCCCATGAGTGCGAGAGAGACGGCGAACCGTTCTCGGTCTGCGACAGCTGCCTGGCGCTCCTGCAGCAGATCGATCCCAGGCGAGCAGATAATCCAAACCGCCGGCCCGAGATCAACATCGAACCGCAGGGTTATTTATGTGCGTGAGAGGAAAAATTTGGCGCCAAACTGGAGCACCGGCGCGCACGCACGACTTCTCAAATGAAAATTTCACCACTTTTCCCCGGGAAAAAATTACTTGTTCAGATGTGCTATTTATAGTTTGTTCCATGAAGACGGAGTCTTTCCTCCGGTCGTTCCGGATTTTCCAGCGAGTTTTCCGGGCTCCACATGAAGTCACCCCCAACAGGGCCGCGGGGTAGAGGCGGTGGGCTGGCTCGCGCGTGCGTCCTTGCGTGCGTCCGCGTGCCGCGTGCCTGAGTCATACGATTATGAGTCACGCTAAGGTACCCGAAAGGTACCCCGGTGGCGTTGACAAAGTCCGCCGTGGAGTGGACTCGTGTACCCGTCCGAACATCCCCATGCGCAGTATGGGGTCGGCGCCGGCGGCCCGTCGGTACCCGGCGCGCGCCTGCTCCGCCGGTACCTCAGGGCACCGTACCCGTCGGTGACTCAAGCAGCAGTCACCACGGGAAGCGGCCGAAGCCGAGCGAGCTGCACACAGTGGCAGGACGACAGTAGCAATGCTTGAGGCAGCGCACAGTGGGCCAGAAGACCGGTGGAGGCGGCCGAAACTCTAGATGCGTTTTGGGCTTCAGCGTCGCTAAATGGGACTCGAACCGAACGTGCGACCCCACCAATGGATTCCTCGTTCGGAGAGTAATCCATTGGTGGGGTCACACGTTCGGTTCGAGTCCCATTTAGCGACTCTGGAGCTCAAAACGCGTCCGGAACTGCGACCGCCGTGCTCGATATTCGAGACCGGGAACCGAGGCCTCGAAAAATGTTGCACGTGACGATGCATGTGACAATGCGCGTGACGACGAAGCGACCGTTCGATAAATCAATGCTGGGTAAACACAGCGGACGGGAAATGGTAATAAATATCAGACGAGGACGGCGCTGGACGCGACGGCAGGGCGCGGGGCTACGCGGGGCTACGCGGGGCGGGGAGAGAGACAGAGAGAGCCAACCTGGTTCTGTGTTCTCCATTCCGAGCGATTCAATTCTCCCGACAGACTTATACAACCGAATGTGTGCGCATTCAATCCCACCGCCTCCTCGCAGCGACAGTCGCGACAGTTTGAGTTGGGACCGGCCGAAAACTGGCGCTCCGCTCCGCGCTCCGCTCCGCGACCCCACATGCAGCGCGCGGTGCTCTGTCCTTGTCGCACCCGAGGCGCGGCCCGGCGCGGCCCGGCCGGCCGCAATGAGTGCGAGAGAGAGGGCCGCGGCCAAACACCGTTTAAAAATCAATTACCAGGTCCTTAGCCGGGTGAGTTATGGAGCCGGTCCGGAGGCTGCAGCGAGTGCGAGAGAGACGGAGCGAGGCAAGGCCCGGCCAAGGCCCTGGAGGCTCCGGCAGGGCGAGAGGGACGGACAGACCGGGCTCGCGCCGCAGGGCACCGCAGGGCACCGCCAGCCCGTCCACGGGTACTCCGTGCCTTCAAGACCGGAACAGACACTCGCCTGACTTAACGGATTCCCGCGGCTTGGGTCTGCAGTGGCGCCAAGCCGCGCACTCAAAAGAAAAAAAAATACAAACGATAAAACATTTTTAAAATTCTGCAAGGACGGCCTGACGGGGATTCGAACCACGGACCGCCATCATTAGTCGCTATCAAGTGCCTCCCGACGGCGGAGCGGCGGACGTGGGCCGCGAGAGAGGAGAGAGAGGGAGAGAGAGGGAGAGAGAGGGAGAGAGAGAGAGAGAGAGAGAGAGAGAGAGAGAGAGAGAGAGAGAGAGAGAGAGAGAGAGACTCGCCCTCGCCCACGTACGCACAACAAATAATACATTCCCGGCCGGCTTCGTACTTCGTATGGGAAAAGATGTCATTAGGACGCGTCAGTGGGCGCGGCGTGCGGCGCGGCCGATCGGGGAACGTTTTAATTCACCCCGGTACTTTTCAATTAATTAATCTTTTTTTTGAAAAACCTCAATTTTGGCGAGTATGGCATCGCGCGCTCATTGTCTTCCCCCGACCCCGTTCCGGAAACGCCGCGTCCCCCGGGCCGCCCTGCACGTCCTGGACGTCCTGGACGTCCTGGGCGGCGAGACGAGTCGCTGACGGTGACCTCGCCAGGACGGACGGATGTAAAACTACGACCACGTGACAGGCGGCGGGCAGGGGAGGGGCGGCTCGGCGTCGCTCGGCGTTCAGGTGCCTTGCGTCGCCGTGCGTGCCTTGATGACGTCATCGCCGAGGGGTGTGAACGGGCTGATCAAGTGATGGGCGGCGACGGGTGCAAGCAGGGGGCGTGGCGACACACACACACACACACACACACACACACACACACACACACACACAGAGGAATACATAATCGCAATGTCGCTGTGGCCGACCGCGGTGCAGAGCCAGAGCAAAGAAGGCAGTCCAGCCAGTGTGTCGCTCGCCGCGCCGCCGGACAGGACACACGTGAGTCCTGCTCTCTCTCTCTCCTCTTCTTTTCCAGCCTCCTTTTTCCTCCCGCGCCGCTCCCCTTGTTCGCTCCCCCTTTTTGCTTTTTGCTTCTTGCGGCGATCGCGGCACCGCGTCCCGGTCGTCATCCGCGCTGTCACTGCTGTCACTTGCGGTGCGGGCCCTTTGCGCGGCGCGCCTCGCCGCCCAGGCCAAAGAACGTGGGTTCGATTCCCGGCCGGGGCGTTGCTTCATCCTTTTTTTCTCGTGGCGATTTGAAATCTTGCCGCGGAGGGCGGCTGTGCGACGGAGAGGTCCGAGTCCTGAACGCGCGCGCCCAAGTCGGTAGCAAGGTGGTCGGTCTGGCCGGGGCTGCCTGCCTGACCCTGGAGGGAGATTGATTAGCAGTGGACCAACAGGATCGTCTCGGCCATCCCGCAGGGCATCCCGCAGGGCTGAGGACTGCCAGGAACTAGGAAGGACGCGGGGCCAGTGGGCCAGAAGACCGGTGGAGGCGGCCAAAATCTCGGACGCGTTTTGAGTTCCAGGGTTGCTAAGTAGGACTAGAACCGAACGTGTGACCCCCACCAATGGATTCCTCGTTCGGCGAGCAGTCCATTGGTGGGGTCACACGTTCGGTTCGCGTCCCTTTAGCGACTCTGGAGCTCAAAACGCGTCCGAGCCCCGAAACGGTCTACTCGAGTCAAGCACATGACGGAAGGGCCCTGGCTTCTGGCCTCGCTGCCTCCGGCTGCCTCGCTGTCGGCGAGTGCCTTGCAGTGTCGTGTCGGCGGCAACGAGCGCTCCATTCATCAAACCTTCGTTTCATTTATCAGCAGGTGGACGGTCCAGTTTAAGGAGGGAGGGGAGGGGAGGGGATGGGAGGGGACTGACGGTGTGGGTTGGCCAGCGCGTCGAATGGGCTGCCTAGGCGCCGGGCGCTCCGCTCTGCTTAGCTTTCGGGAGGACTTACCTCTGCGTCCAGCTTCTTGTACTCTGGGTCCTCCTCGTCCACCTCGAAGTACAGCTCCGTGGAGGTGATGGACACGGTGCCCGGGGCCACGATGCCCGGCGCGATCAGCCTCGCGCGCGTGCTGATGTTGACGGGGCCTGCGGCACAGAGACAGACACGGTGGCGGTGAGCATGCCGTCGTCCGGGCCACTAGGAAACACTGACGCACAGTGGGCCAGAAGACCGGTGGAGGCGGACAAAACCCTAGACGCATTTTGAGCTCTAGGGTCGCTGAATGGGACTCGAACTGAACGTGTTACCTCACCAATGGATTGCGCATTCGAAGTGCAATGCATTGGTGGGGTCACACGTTCGGTTCGAGTCCCATTTAGCGACTCTGGAGCTCAAAACGCGTTCAGAATTTCGCCGCCTCCACTGGTCGTCCGGCCCACTATGTGGCGAAGGCGAGGACTCACCGGTCAGGTCGACGTCGAGGTCCCGGTCGTCGGCGAGCAGCTCGCTGTCGTCCAGGAGGTCGGCGTGCTGCTGCTGTTGCTGCTGCTGCTGCGAGCACGTCCTGGAGGCGGCGAGGTGCGCGTGGAACTCCTCCCTGGCCTGCAGGATGGCGTCCTCGGGCGCGCCGTGCTCCAGGGCGGCCTTGAGCGTGGCCTCGGGGTGGCTGGAGCCGCGCGGGTTGTGCACGAAGCGCTTGCGGCGCCGCGCGTCGTCCTCCCACGAGTCCAGCTTCCAGAACTCGCTGAGCATGGCGCCGGCCGGGTCCATGTAGCCCCAGGCGCCGTGCTTGTTGGACAGGATGTTGCGCGTCTTCTCCAGCAGGCGGATGGCGATCACGTTGTCGCGGCGCCGCGCCGCCGTGATGAGGTGGTCGCACATGCGCTCCTCCTCGCGCCGCTCCAGCAGCGTCTGCGCGCACTGCGACTCGAAGTCGGCGTGCTTCAGGACGTCGTCCGCGCGCATGCGGTTCAGGATGAACTCAGCCTCGTTGGCCACGCGCACGATGTGGTCCTTCATGGCGTGCGACAGCAGGCGGCCCTCGTTGATGAGCTCGATGAAGGCCAGACCCGCGTGCTTCTGCAGCGAGTTCTGCCACTCCTGCGAGCACAGCAGCATCACCAGCTCCACCACGGACTGGCTGTTCTTGAACGTCGTCAGCCCCTTGCCCTCCATGAGCAGCTCCTGGCCGTGCGAGCCGACCAGCGTCTTGGACAGGAAGGGCGCGAAGTCCACCATGATCTCCCGCAGCAGCGGGCACACGGAGCCCAGGGCCGTCTCCAGCTTCTGGGTGAGCGACGCCTCCCTGGAGGGCGTGGCGAGCGGCAGCGGCAGCGGCACGGCCTCCAGCCCCTTCATGGAGCTGGGCAGCGAGCTGGGCAGCGAGCTGGGCAGCTCCCTGTCGGGCATGGCGGGCATGGCGGGGCCCTGGCCCAGGCCCTGGCCGGGCTGGTGCATGGCGGGGCCCTGCCCGGGGCCCTGCCCGGGGCCCGGCACCACGCAGGGGTTGGCCTCGGCCGGCACGCGCACCACGGAGATCTCGGCCGCGGGCTTCTCCCCGCGCTCCAGGCTGCCCTCCGTGTCTAAAGTAGCGCCTAAAAAATTAAAAAAAAATTAATTAAAAATAAATTTTTGGAGCGGTCACACTGGGAGTCCATCAATTTTTGACATGAATGTACCTTGAGACTGGGAAATGTTGTGCAGGTTGCGACTCTCTTCTGCTCTGTCTTTGATGCGAGCAGTCGCCACCAGGTCACCATCCTCATTGAGGTTTACGTCAGTCCAGCTGTCGTCGTTGTCCTCCATGCCAACTCCCATTCCTGAGTCGCAAATCACATCAAAGCCTTTGAGAAAGAGATTCAATGAGGGAATAAGGCTGGTAGATCTACCGTTCACTCACCAATGGTTTTCGTGGTAGGCTCCTCATTGTTGTTCTCATTATTTTCATCATTTGAAAGAGGTGTTGTGGTCTGGTTGTAATCTGCATTTTCCAGAGTGACAACAGCTGTGTGTTGTGTATTTATGTCTTCAACAGACCCAGCACTCTGTAGAAAATTTTTCATAATTAAAAAAGTGAAGCTATACAACAAAACCACTTCCCGTCCTTTTTTTCACTGACATAATAGTTATTAAAAAGCACACAAGCGAGTTGAACTTTCTTTTTTTATCGTTAAGTTGAAAGTGTAAGCTTCCACATATGAATTGATGCCAAAGACAATGAACATGTGAAGAAAGAAAAGATTCAAAATCCCAGTTCAAGCATGCAACAGAGGAAACTTTGAAACCCAATGAGAAGGCTGTATTATAAGGGTCGAGAGGTGTGAGCAAGAACAAACCATGCAGAGTGTACTTTGTTTGGATCCAAAAATTGGAATAGAAATCAAAGATATACAGAGGCAGAGGTAAACCTACCATAAGGAAAATACCACTTCTGTGACCAGTAAAAAATAACGATAAGAAAGCAAACAAAAGACAAACTACTTCTAAGTAAAAAGTAGATTCATGAAATCATTATAAAAATGGAAAAAAAAAAAAATAGTGGCAACTTATGCAAATGGACTCTGTAGAGTGAACTTATAATTTAATGCACCTTTGGGACAAAGCATGTGATGAATATTTGAAATTTGCGAGAAAACACTCTAAAGCTGGGTGTATGACTGAAGTTCAAAAAAATTTGCTTTTCAGAAATCAGTAACTCCAATTTATCACGGCAAAACAGTTTTCGCTCTCAATGCATCTGTCATACCTTGCACAGCATGGCCGCTGGTTGTTGCCTTTGAGAGGCTCGTTGAGCAGTTTGCGCTTGTGCTGCATTGTTTGGTGCAGGGCATATGGTTGCTCCCTGTGGGTAGCTAGTGTGGCAAGTAGTTGTTACATGGGTCCGCTCGTTTGCCTAAAGGTGTACGAATGTGGCAGGCAGCAGACAGACACAAAGACCAGCACCATGAGAACACCATTATCATGAGACCAGATCCAGAGAAGCACCACCAATCATTATGTTGTCATTTGTCGGCTAAAATTTGAATCTTAGTGATATCTTTTAGAACTTTTTGCAATCATAAAAACTGGTATGTTAATTAATGGAATCATGCTTTGAAAAAATGATGGAAAAATTTCTGATGATGACATTTTTGAAGTTAAAATGAAATGGTTAATGATCCAACATGCGAAGAAGGCAGAACATGCCAGGAGTGATGGCAGAAGAGCATCTGAGCATCTAGCATTCTGTCCCTATGTTGAGCCAAAATTACAGAGTAAAACTTATGGTTGAGAAGAATAAGTTTCAATCTCATGCCAGAGAACTCAAATAAAAAATATCTACAAAATTGCTCAAACAATTCAAGGCCTAGAATGGCCATATCACACATAAAGTGAATACCTAAATTAAAAACAAGACAGATTTCAACAGTACAGACACTAATGAAACTACATTAGAAAACCATACATCAAGGTAGACCCTAGACACTATTTAATTCATCTATTTATTTTTACTACTGATAATAATAAAATTTCTAGGAGTTCAAGCCCACTGTCTGATTTAAAGATGGACTAAGTCACTGTTATTTATCATTGAGGTAATGTTAAGGGCTTCATATTAATGTCGAGCAAAAGTTTGTTTGGGCCCAAATGCACGTCCCATTTTATAACAGCTAGACACACGCACACCAAAACACTTCACGTTTAAGCCCACACAAGCAATTTTGTTCTCAATGAACACTTACTATCACCTTAACAACACAAACTAATCCCAGCAATCCCTGAGACAAGGCTTATAATAGAAATGCAGATGATTCAAAGAGGTAGAAGCCAGAAAAGTTAGACTTGCCTTAAGAGAAGTTGGTCCACTGGAGTGTGAGTCGTGATCCGCAAGAACCGATGAATTGTTTTCATCCACTACGATCACATCGTACTCACCGTCTTCATGAGAGCACAGTGATCTATGTTGGGCTGGAATAATAAAGTAAAAATTAAAATAATGTCAAAGATAATTTTGTCTTTCTAGAATAAAATATATTGAGCTCAAGAGGAGATTAGAAAGGAAACAAGTTGAACATGGCTAAAGCTAGAGATAAGTACAACTAGAACTGTTTCTAAAACAGAAAACATATTTCATTCCTTTGTCATGTGATTTGTACACAAATTAACTCAGCAAACTAGAATCTAGAATGAGGAATAGAGAGTAATGGTTCAAGCAGGAAATTACTAACAAAATGAAAAAAAAAAGTTAAAGAATTTGGATACTACTAAAATAACTATTTTGAACACTAGGAACCAATAATTTACAATGGACACTAGCTCATAGGTGTTTTCAAAGGACTCTGGTTTGATGCTGAAAATAAAATATAGCATAATGGGGAATGTCTGTATCAGCAAATTCTACAGCTTGTATTGTTACTGGGGGTCTCTTACACAGAGCATTCTGAAGAGAGAGCTGTAGAAAAGAAATGTGAACTGAAATGATAAAGAAAAATAGAAATTTGGATTAACGAAATGAACTGTACCTAGTGCAAGAGCAGATCAAAGACTCAAAGATACTCATGCAAAAGAATGACAGATGAGAGTGAAAGAAGGAGGAAGAGACAGACATATACACGTAAACTTTAACACAGTACTCAGCAAAGCCTTGTAGCCTGTGAAAAGAAAGCTGGAAATCAATAGATATCAAATGTACAGTGATGATCTTTTTCTTTAAGGGGTAAAATGAAGAGGAAACTGTTTCTTAAATAAATTAATTTGCTTGATTTCATTGATAGAAATAAACTGTCATACTTAGTATTACAAGTTGATATACTTTCTTAGGCCACATTGGCCACACTGAAGCTCAGCAAAATGTCTTATTACAGTCACATAGAAATGATTTGATGACTATACGTTCAAGCATCTTCATGCAATCTAACAACAATATACAATGTAAACTACTCAACATAAGAACCACTCTGAAAATATAATGTATTGGGGTGGGTGGAGAACTGCTCTCCAAAGGGTAAAAAAAAACATGCCAAATGTGATGCATGCTCACACCAGATAAGTGTCTATTACCTGGCTTCACCATGTTTCTACGGAAGCGCAGCTGAGGTGCTGCTTGATCAAGCTTGTTGTTGATGTGATTTCTAATTAGTTGGTGGTTCCGCTGCTGAACGGATTGATGGTGGGTATTGTGGTTTAGATTGGTGTTCTGAGAAGGCATTGAATTTGTGTGGGTGTTCTGAGGGGGCGAGGCATCAGGATGGGAGCCAGGGAGGAACTGTGGGTACACATGATGGGACCACTGTGGGAACAAGGGTCTCGCTCCTCCTTCTAGTAGCCAGCATGAAAGAGAATCAACCAATCTTCTGTCAGAACAAATACCACCTCAATCACCAAAGTAAGTACGCTGCTAAGCTTGATATCAAACAATTATTATGCAGATTTTCTGATGAGATCTACATTGTAAACCCAAGTGCAATAAGGACAAAAAAGCAATGTATTGAGACATTGCCCCGGTAAAAGATCTCTGATCTCTGAAGTAATCTTATTTTTCCTGTGGCAATATTTATGACACTTTTCTATTTCCTTTTAAAAATATATCTGGCCTAGTCAGGATATTTAAAATTGTCTACTTTTGTTCCACATGTGAAAGGAACATTTAAAATACATGTGCACATGTGCAAATGACTAAATATCTGCTGAGTGAACTAGTGTGCACCTGAAGATGCTAACTTCACCAATTGGATGAAGTCAATGCATTTAAATTACCATAAAAAAGAGATTGTACAACACATATTATCTTGCCATTGACACAAGTACTTATAAAAACAAGTTTCTATAAATAAATCTGTCATCAGCAGCATTACAAAATAAAACATCAGGAGCGGCTCCAATTTCTTCTGCATATCGGTTAGGTCAGAGGTGCAAAAGTGCCTCACCTGCCCTGTACATTTGTGGGTGGAGGCACTGTAAAACATATATTGATTACCAAGCTTGAGCATATTTGAATGATCACATACCAGGTGGGCTGTTGCTGTGCTGAGAAGTTCCATTGCTTCGAGGCACAGGGGTAGGTGGGCTGGGGACCCTGGCTACAAGGGGTGGTTCCAAAATATCCCTGTACTTGGAAACCATTAGAACTGAGATGAAGTAGACAATGGCCAGAGATAGGAACTGGGCTTGCTTTGTTTCCTCCTGAAACATTAACAATAAGATGACAAATTAGAAAGTGTAAATAGCAGCGCATGCATTAACACACAAATTAGCTGATAGCTTACCACATCCCGATAGATCACAGCTCTCAGTCGGTTTACATCCATATCTTGTAGCAATTTTTCTGGATCTTTTACAGGGCTTGACTGTGTAGATAAGTTCTCTACTATATTCTGCTTCAAATGTGAAAATGGTAAATTAATTTTTTGATAAGGTCTAGGTAAAGGTGATCACAATAATATTACTGTTAGCTTATCTTACCTTTGGTGATGTTTGAACTCCACGAATAAGTGATTGCACATGAGCATTTTTATTATTTGCATTGAAGACAGGTGTAACTGCAGAGTTGAAAAAGGGTCGATTTCTTTCTTTGCATTCTAAGCAATTCCTTACAGCACATGTGCAGACCTATTTGAATTATAGAGAAAAAGGTAGGTTTAGTCTCAATTGCCCTGGCATAGAAAATGAGTTTGTCCAAAAAAAATATTGAAAGATTACTTACAAGTCGAAGACACTGTCGCAAGATACCTCCACTTGACATATTCTTCTCTGCTTCTAGTTCGCCAAAGTTCAGTGAACTTGCAAAAATAAGAACATCTGCCATGTTTACTAAACGCTGCAGAAATGAAACTGCCACTTCAATGGGCATGCCTTGTGTAGGCTCAATAACTTCCAGTTCACTCTGAAATGGTTAAATTAATTAATTGAAGCTCAGATCAACTAGCTCACTTAGTAATTGTATTTTAAATTGCAAAGTGGTACAATCTTACATTGGGAGATGTGGCCGAAGCTAAGAGAGGGAGCAATCCTCCACAAGCTATGATCAGATTATCAGCTAACTGTGAGATCAGGTGTACAGTATTTACAACAAAGATTTGATTTTCTCCACTGTTTACAAAATCTAACACAGACTTGGTTGAATGACTGCAAAATGAACAAAGACAAAATTTATTTCTCTGAACTGTAATTAAAATCAAAGTGAAACAGAAACACTTTTGTCAAAACTTGGTAAGAATGACCTTACCTTCTCCACACTTGTATGTCTGTTTCAAGAGAGAAAAGAACATCGGAGAGAAGCCTTTGGTGGATGTAGGACCACTTGAATTCGGGTATTCTGAAAGGGGGTCTTGAAGGTCCTGGACTAAACATGGGCCTTCCCTGAGCTCCTGCAGCCCCTCCTTGTTCTGAAGCAACATTTTCGTCCTTGCCCAGTTTTGCATCTGTGAAAATAAAAAGAGGTAAGTCAAACAAAATATTCTTATCTCTCGTCACATGTAACACAATTTTTAGGATCAATCAATAATCTAACCGAAATGAGAATGTTCCACTTGGGTTGCCGTGGAAGTGCTATGAGGCTTGTGAGGTGTAGAATTAGTTTCAGTTCCTTCCTCACTTTGAACTAAGCCATCTTCACTTTGAATTAATCCATCATCTTCTTGAATGGAAGCGTTTTGTGTGACAACCACTGACGTAATTTCCTCAACAGGCGGCAGTACTTCAGTTTGTTCTATGGAGGCAATTTCTTCATTGTCTTGTATTGAAGGTTCTTCCTTGTCTGCAATTACTTCTTCCTTGTCTGCAATTACTTCCACATTAGTTTCACTTTGCACCTCTTCAATTGGAGCATCAGTAGGGGTTGGAACAGAGGGTTCGGCAACTGGTGCACAGCTTTCCAAATCATTTGGAGAGCTGGCCAAATCAGACGGAGCAGAAGTTGCAACAGCTGACGCTAGGTCAGGCGAAACATCCTCCGAAGGGGTAGCTTCAGGCGAAGCTTCAGCTGACTTTTCAGGGGATGCCTCTGCTGAAGCCTGTGGGGCTGCAGCAGCATCAGTGGCTTCACATTTTTCAGTCTCTTCAGGTTCAGCTAGAGTTGTGGATTCTGACGAGTTGTCTGTAGGTAACGCCTCCTCACTTAAGGCAGCTGAGGGAACAGCCTCCGATTCGCTCAACTCTAGCCGTGGTTCTTCTGATGCTGTGAACAAGAGAGAATATAAAAAAGATGCAACTGAATGTAAAAGATGACTATATCATCAATACATTCAAAGAAAAACCAAATAGACAATGAAATTATTTATTTTTAAACATACCAGTATCAGTATCACCAGGGGTTGAAACATCTTCGGTTGTTGGTGTGACCCCAGATACTCCCGAATCAGAGGGCACACTGTCACTAACATTACTTAGTGACAATTCAGATGGAACAGTAGTTTTATCATCACTCACTGGGGAGCCAGGTAAGTTCTGAATAGGTATCACAGGGGCAAACTCTTCATTGGATTCTGGAGTGACGACAGAATCACTGTCCTCTTCAGCTTTTGTTGGTGAAGGAGCCTCAAATCCTGGAGACTTTTCTGAAGACTCACTAATTTTACTTCGGGCAGGACTTGAAAGCTCCTCAATGGCAGAATGCATTGACGATGTCTCCTCCCCAAGCCTGCAGATAATCTCCTCTTCATCTTCCTCGTCATCATCGCCCCCATCAGCATCAACTTCAGCTTCGGTGTTGGAGACTTGAGGCACACTCTCATCTGCACTGTCTACCACTCCTTCCCTAACTTCTGAGACTGAGCTTGAGCAATTAACACCTCCTTCAACATCTACACCACCTTCCTTTTCCATATCACTTTTACTACTTGAGCAATTATTAGCTTCAATTACTGAAGATTCAGTCTTTTTGGGACTGCTGAGAGGAGGGGAAGAAGCTAACCGAACAGGGGAAGATTTAGCACTGCTAGTTGGAGGTTCTGGTTCCATTAAAGTTCTTGTATCAACTTCCACACTGTCACTCGCTGGGGGATTTGCTTCGTCACTACCCTGCTGCGGATGATGAGCCACAGCCTCACTGGATGCTGAGTCCGATGGAGCGTCTACCACTGGTTCAGGGGTTGCTGCCCATGACTCGTCTTGAACCAGAGTCGCCGCATCCTTGGTACCAGCAGAAACATAACAAGTGCCCTCTGGGCATGCACTCGCTGCTGTGTCTGAGTTCTCAGAGTCGAGCTCGCAGCTGCAAACTGCATTACTTTGTTGTTGGTCCTCCATTTCCTGGTCAAAGACAAATTATAAGAATAAGACAACGTTCTCAATTGTTTACCGATTCAGCTCAAAATGTCTAGAAAGAACTCTAACTCGTACTTGGGAATGATCTGTTTCGCCATTGTGCCACTCATGGTAGCCGTTGGTTTGGCCCTCAGCATGCGCGATGGCGCGCTGCCCGTTGGGGTGGTGGCCCTGATGGTGTTGGCCGCTCTGCTGCTGCTGGTCCCAACCAGAGATGGTGCTGATTGGTCTCTGCTGTCGCAGGGCTGGATCAGTTATGTTGTCAGACCGCTGGCGTTCATAGTGCTCATACATCTGAGCAAACTGCAGCTTGAACTCTTCGTAAGAAACCTGAAATCAGATTTGTGGTTAGGGCAAACAATTTGCAGAAGGGAGTTTGTTGAGGACTTAAATTAAATACTACAGGGAAGTTATTCAAGTTAACTTACCTTTGAATGCACAATAGCCAGGGTGTCGACCCACACCCTCCAGCCACCGTACTCATGCTTGATTGCATGATGTAACAGCATGCGAAACAAAATATAAACCATGTCTGATATCTTCTGTTCCTCTGCAGTTTTAGGGTGTATGTATGCCATAGCAATGAGCCATTCCTAGAAGAGTAAAGGACCAAGTCAAATAAAATATTTTTTTCATTGACAAATTTTTTTTATTAATTTTAAAATAAATTTTAAGTACTGACCTGCCAAACTGACATCTGTAGAACAGTCCTTCGATTTTCTCTGTTATTATTACAAAGAAGAGTCATGTCAGACAGGAAAAGCTTTTTGACTTCCAAAAGCTGTTCGGTTGGTTTTGACTGCCGTATCAAAGTAGCCACCACTTTAAGAATCACTGGAACAAAAATTACAAAATTTTTAATATGAGTCACTTCATTGGTATGGAATTAGAATGGTATGCTGCGAGCATTACTTGGATTTTCTAAGCGGTAATGAGACTCTGGCTCTGGATGTCTCGTGTACAGGATTTGTTGACTAATATGCTCCGTCATGATCTGCACAAAGCGAGGCAAAAAGATTCAAATTAACAAAGGTAATTTAAAAGTAATTTTATTTGTTTTGGTAAGACTATTAGAAATGATTAGATCATACCTCATACAGTACATTGTATGTAGCCAGTCCCAGTGTTTGCTCGTTGAGAAGTAATCGTTCTGCCAGTAACGTATACAAGTTGTGGGGACTCATAACGTCATACTTTCTCCTAAAAAATGATGTCATGTTTTACATTCTGCCTTTCAAAATGAATTTAAAAATGAAACAGCAACACATTTATACGTACTTGTGAGTGCTACGACTTAGAAAGAAGCCAAGAAGTTTCAGAGCTTGTAAACGAATCAGTTGGCTCTCAGAAGCAAGAAGCTTGAAAATAGTACGAACACCCTGTTTCACATCAAAAGCTGGTACCAATGAAGAAGGGTGCTCTGACATTAATGAGATCAGCATTTGAAGTACATCATGAAGATTTTCATCCTGGTGAGAAAAAAATAAAGAATATAAGTACATCCAGTGAACTCAAAAATTAACATTGTGATCGGGGTCATTTTTTACCTCATGCATGGTGGTGAGGTAGTTGAGGATGCTTTGAAGTTCGTCATCCTTCACACCACTGCCTATCATAATCAGTTGCTTAAGGAATAATAGGATGTACGCTCTGATGGCGAGGATATCTTTCTGTGCAGGTCTTGGCCCGTCCAGGCCTTTGGGAGTGATGCCACTCTTGGCTCTTGGGTTTAGAACCCAATAATAATACTTCAAGGTGTGTACAGTCTGAAGAACAGTGGAGACCCTCCTGACGTTGGAGTAGATTCCAGTGTCAGAGAGGAACTCTGATGCTAGATATGAATACAGTCTAGTTTGAACATTAGCTGGTGTGTAGATCCACAGAGCAGGGTTGAAAAGGACATGGTCCAGCAGCTGGAAATAAAATTGACTGAGTCAGAAATGTTCAACTAAAGATTATAGATCAACGGCAGCCTTGAAAAGAAATTACCTGTTTTAGAAGAAGTTCACTATTGGGAGTGAGACACGTAACTAAATGTTTGGTTAGAGCTAGGAATGATAAGAGCACCTCAGTTGTGAGGTGGTCTCTGGAGGAGCGTTGAAGCATTAAGCTAATGACAAGAAAACCTCTGTTCTGAATCATGTGTTGCTGGACGGTTGCAGAGCTTTCCACCAACTCACAAATAAACCCAAGCAGTTTTGAGCTAAAATCAAGACAATATTTCAATTATTTTAAATAAATTCCACATATTGAGATACTAAAACAGAACAGGTTCTTACCAAAGTTGTAAATCCCGTTTAGTATCCTGAGATCCTAAAGGTGAATCATAGGGCAAGTCTAACTGAGAAAATAATGGAAATAGCACTTGTATTCCTCCTATTGAATTGAGCGTGGAGTGAATAGAGTGTGTAATAACAGCCTTCACATCCTGAAAAATAGTTTAAAAAAATAGTTTTTAAAACAGTAGATGCTATGATAGGTCAGACTGAACAGGGATGGACTATATAATACCTGAAGCATAAGGGCGTGTGGAGTGTGGACAAAAAATGGTTGGTTGCCCTTTGGAGCAGACTGGAGACACAACTGGCTGTCTGTTGCAACTGGATTGTACATGAACACAATTGCACTAGACAGTTTGCCATCATACAGAACCTGTAAGATCAATGATTCAGAAATTTAGAACCAGAACAGATTAAAAATTTATGTAAAATCATGTACTTGATGGGAAAAGTATTATTTCACACAGCATATTTTTTGGTAACTAAGTAGCTTTTGCTAGTCTGTCCAAACTGCTCAAGCATTGGTGCAAAATTTCTACTGAGCTAGCTACAAAGTCTATCTACTAGGTAAATTAAGAAAAAAAAAATCTAAAATAACTAAAGAAAACAAACAAACACAACAAACTTCATAAGATTACAAAACTGAGAATTCTACATGTATGAGCAGAAACACAAAACACAAATATTAATGCAACAACACAGTTAATAAAATAGAAACTACAAATCTACTAAATCTTTAAAAAAGTAGCTAAAACTAGGTTTAAAAGAAATCTCTATGCTTATCCAGCTAGGCGGAGGAAAGGATCACACAAACATCTATCAGTCCTGCACTGCACAAAGAACATGAAAAGTTAGTCAACAGAAAATTGTCTGCCTTTGTTTTTTTTTCCTTTAAATACAGAAGTGAACATTGTGTTCACAACAACCAAGCAAATCTTCTGTAAATTTTGTTTGAAACATAATTTACAAACAGCAGTTCTGTATTCCATACCATTATTTTAGACGGCTCAATTGACTGAATGAAATAACACAATAAACAAAGATCAAGATACAAAACACAAAGCATGCTTACTGAACGCATCCATTGCTCGGTCATGCAGCGAGGTGGCTCAGTGGCTTGAGGGTCATGGGTGGCTTCAGGCGGTTCAAGCTCAGATTCTAAGTCCCCCCACTCACTCACCCGTCGATGATTGTCAGGCAGATTCAAGTTGCATTCATTATCAAACCGGAACTGACTCTGTGCAAACAAAATTCAACAGGATTAAAGAATCTAGGCCAGGAAAAAAAGTAACGTAATGGCGTAGGCATAAATTTAAGGCACTCACTTTGTAACTAGGACCAAGTCTGTGCATTGCACAAATTTGATGCGTTGATAGTGCTTCACTAAAGACATAGATGGCTGACATTTGACCACAGAACACTCTTTCCTCATCCAGTTCTGGGGTTGCTCCGATGTAGCATTTGTCAAACACATCGTTTGTTGACACAAACCATGCCATTTCTGTGCTTGAAGCTAGTTGTCCATTCACTAGGCACTTGATTTCACTTTTGGTCCATCGGTTATAAATATATACAACAGCTATCATGTACCACTGTAAATAAAAGTAAGTGTCATGATAAAAATATGCTCCAAGGAAAAACAAATTAAAAATTAATAAGAGGACTGAACTTACCTTTCTAGGTTGAAATTCATACTTGACACAGTGCTGGAAGCCTTTGCCCTTGACTTTCATTGATGTAAGGACTAGACAATTTCCCACAAAGTGTGCTGAGTAACCAACTCCTTTGCTTGTTTTAAAACTGAAACAAAGAGGTTCATTCAAATTATTTCAGATGAACGATCTTAAAAAAAAAAGGCCAGCAGAACTACATGACTCACCAATATAAATATGGCTTTTCCCGTTCAATATTGACAGAGTTGATTGGGTCTAGTCGAAACCAGGTGGTAAATGTGAAACCATTTTCATAAGGCCACTTAGCTAGAGGTGGAAGCACTACTGCCTGTGAGGGCAAAAGCAAAAAATAACAATTTAGTGATTAGGAAATTTCAATTAGTGGAAAAAAAAAAAGTTGGTTTGAATCTTGATTTTGTTTAAGAATACGTACTGAACCCTTTCTTCCCGGGAAACTGAAGAACACATCTGGTCCATTCCGCTGTGGTGTTTGTCTAAGAACATTCAATAGTTTGGCTGAATGCCTTGGCTGAAATGAAATTACAATTTAGTGTGAAAACAGCGGGTGTCTAGGGATTTTGAAGAATTTCTTAAGCACATTACGCTTACCCATTTCCCATTAACAGCTTTCATGGCTCCAAATAACAATTTCAACTCTTTCACTGTTATACTATATGATGCCAGCACACCCAGCATTTCAATCAACAGATCTGCAACAGAAATAAAAACAATCAACGACTGAAATTCGTTTAATTTAAAGGGGAGCGGCGGGAAGAGGGGCAAGAAAGAAGACTAGAGTATGAAAAAGTTTTTGGATGCGCTGTCGGTTTCCCGATTTTAGAGCAGTTTTGGGATCCGCAGCATCCTCTGCACACCACCAGCAGACTCTGCCCTCTTTTTATGGCGCCAAGCACTCCGTTCCGGGAAGGGGGAGGGCAGAGGGTGGGCGCTGGTACCAATGCTGGTACGGTACTGCGGTCCGGGCAGGAAAAGGGGGAAGGGGTGGGGGGAAAAATATGGAGTGCATACTCGGCACTACCCATCCGACCATCAGGTTTCCCCCTCCCCTCCCCCGCCCCTGCTGGAAGGAGTGCTCGAGGCAGGAGCGCCGCGAGGGAAGACGGGGAAGAGGACGCCAGGGGCCGGGGGCCGCGGGGGCCGCCGGGGCCGGCAGAAACTAGCGGCGGGGCTACACTGTACACTGTGCGCCGCCAAGCGCCAAGGCGAGTCGAGGCGAGCCAAGGCCCAACTTGCGGAAGGGGGAACACTTTCCGGCCTTCCGTGGCGGGCGTTGCGGGGCTGGGGATATTGACGGGACGGGGTAATATTATTTTTCTTTTCGCAAGCCCCCGCACAGTGGGCCAGAAGACCGGTGGAGGCGGCCAAAACTCGAGACGCGTTTTGAGTTCCAGAGTCGCTAAGCAATCCATTGGTGGGGTCACACGTTCGGTTCGAGGCCCACTTAGCGACTCTGGAGCTCAAAACGCGTCCGGGGTTTTGGCAGAGGCACGTACCGGCGACCACGGGCTCGGCGGCCTGCAGGCGGTGCAGCACGTGCTCGATGAGGCCCACGTCGGTGCACGCCTGCAGGTTGCGGACGCTCTTCCTCAGGATGGCGATGAACACGCTCCAGATCTCGGCCTGCCGACAAAGCAACACAAAACACACAGTAAGTTCAAGCGTCGGGAGCAAGATGTTGCCTAGTGGGCAGGCTGAGGTTGGCAACCCTTTCGACAATGGGCCAGGGCGCGGGGCGCGCGCTACAGCGCACAGTGGGCCAGAGGTACGGTGGAGGCGGACAACACTCTAGACGCGTTTTGAGCTCCAGACTCGCTAAATAGGAATCGAACCGAACGTGTGACCCCACCAATGGATTGCTCTCCGGACGAGAAATCCATTGGTGGGGTCACACGCTCGGTTCGAGGCCTGTTTAGCAACTCTGGTGCTCAATACGCGTCCAGAGTTTTGTCCGCCTCCACCGGTCTTCTGGCCCACTGTGCAGCGTGGGCGGCATGGCGGCAGCCAGAGGTTGGTGACAGGTAGCCAAACTTGGCGAAGAAGGCGGAGGGCTCGGCGGGGCTCGGCTCCCCCTTTCCTTTCCCTTTCCGGTGGCGTAGCGCCGCGCGGCATCCCTCCCTGCAGTGTAACACGAGAAACAAAAGCCAACTGAAAGCCCGACCGGAGCAGCCGGAGCGGGAGGGGATCCCCATTTGGCATATCGTGCCGAGTGGTTCCAACGCAAGGAGGGCGCGTGTGTGTGACTGTGCGAACATGTGTGTAAGGGCACACGTCTGTGTGTGTGTGTGTGTAAGGGTACACTTGTGTGTGTGTGGGAGTACATGTGTGTTGACAAGCATTGCCGTGTGCTCGCCGGGACACGCCGGGACTACCGTGCCTCGGGTCGAGCAGCGAAAAGCGAAAACATGAATGCGGGGGCGTGGGGCTGCTGCTGCTGTTGGTGGCGGTGCCGGGTGTGGTGTTGTCCCTCCCGAAGATGGTTCGCGGGCGGTAGCGCCGTGGCGCGCAGGGACTCCCACCTCCCCACAGTGGGTTAGAAGACCGGTGGAGGAGGCCGAAATTCTAGACGCGTTTTGAGCTCCAGAGTCGCTAAGTGGGCCTCCAACCGAACGTGTGACCCCACTAATGGATTGCTCTCCGAACGAAGAATCCATTGGTGGGGTCACACGTTCTGTTCGAGGCCTGTTTAGCCTAAAACGCGTCTAGAGTTTTGGCCGCCTCCACCGGTCTTCTGGCCCACTGTGCAGCCGGCTCGTCGTCGTCGTCATGCCCTGGCCGTGGCCGTGCCTCGCCGAGTTGAGCTTCAAGTGATGACTTTTGCACCGAGCATTCCAAATGCATGAAGCGCCTCGATGGCTCGGTTTGCATATTTCAGAGCGGCCGATGAGAAGGGGGGGGGGGGGGGTGGACGCCAACTTGCTTTCGCCGCCGTCAGCCGCGGCGCTACAACTTCCGGCCTAGACGGCCTACCGCAGCACCGCCAGCACCGCGACGCCGCCATCCAGAAACCAAACTCCGCCAAGATTCCGCGCGCCGCACAGTGGGCCAGAGGACCGGTGGAGGCGGACAAAACTCTGGACGCGTTTGGAGCTCCAGAGTCGCTAAATGGGCCTCGAACCGAACGTGTGACCCCACCAATGGGTTCCTCGTTCGGAGAGCAGTCCATTGGTGGGGTCACACGTTCGGTTCCAGTCCCATTAAGCGACTCTGGAGCCCAAAATGCGACTGGGGTTTTGGCCACTCCCAGCGGTCTGCTGGCCCACTGTGCGGCGCGTCTCTGTGCCGCCAGGCCGCGAGTCTCTGCGCCGCGCCCGCCACGCCTCGCAGCCACCTCGGGCGGGGAAGAGGCGAAGACCATCCCCAAATTCGATTCGCCATTTTTGTTTCCTGTTCCGGGTAACTCTCGCACCATTAGCGGCCCAGATCCGCAATTTCGTTAGCCGCCCCCGCCGGAACCGCGCGGGGCGGGGAAGGCGACCGCACGCAGGCGGGGCGGGCGAAGGGCGGCGCAGTGTCTATTTTGATAGTGCCCTTCCGCGGAAGGCGAGATTGGCAGCCCTGCAATATGTACCGAGGCGAACGCAAAATGGCGGCGGCGGCCGCGGCGCGCCGCACCGAGAGAAGCAGGCCCTTCAGCACCCCGCGTGCCGGTGTCGGCGTGTAAGTGTACCCCCCCGACCCAGAGTACCCCCGGGTGCACAACGCCTAGGGCCATAGTACCCTGGGGTACATGACGACTAGGTTCAATGTACCCAGGGGTACAATGCGCCTAGGTGCCAGGCGAATTGTACCCCGGGTACAATGCGGCTAGGCGAAATGTACCCCGGGGTACATTTTGCCTAGGCTTTTGTATCCCCCGCCGGCCGCAGGAGGATGCACGTCGCCTAGGCGCAATGCACCCCTCCCGGAAGAGCCTAGGCGAGGAGTATCCCCTCGGCCGGCCGGAGGGGGATACAATAAGCCTAGGCGCAATGTATCCCCCCCCCCCGGATACAAAAATCGAGAAAAAAAGAAGAAAAAAGGGGGGGCCCTTCTCCCACCTCCGCACACAGGTCGGAGGGCCGCCTGCAACTTCGGTGGATCGGGGGAACCGGTGCTTTACAGGCGGCGACCCCAGGGGTTCTCGTCTGTATATGGGCCGGGCTTGAAGGGCGGGTTTGACAGTCTCTCTCTGCCTTGAGAGCCTTTGCTTTTCGCGGGGTGGTCTGTACCAATTGTACACCCGCTGTCCGGCGCTCTCTACCAAACATACAGCTTGTTTAAGGGCCAGCTTCAAAGGACTTATCATCTCCTCCCGACGAATCAGGAGGACCCACCCGCGACCAATTACGGGTGGCTGGATTGACGGATCAAATACTCCGTCGCTCCAGTGCCGAGGCCAACCCGCCGAAGCGCAGTTGCTTTTTAGACACCCCAGCGGAGTGGCCAGGTGAATGTGACTCTGACCACTACGCTATCAAGCTTGTACGTCTGGCGTCGTGTTGGACGACGGGTTTGAGTTGCAGTGGAAGGAAGCCAGTCGAAAAATGTAATGAAATGATGGGAGTCGATCCCAGGACCCTATTGCCGGGACCGCACGACTTTTGCCGCTCGCCCACCACGGCCCATGACGAATGGAGCGGCGTGAGGCGGGCTCTTGACGCGACAGGAATGGACCGACCCGGTCAAAATTTCACAAGAAGTTTGGGGAGTCGAACCGCCGACCTCAGCACGGAGAAGCGACGCCTCTACTCCCTAGACCACCACGGCACATGCAGTTCGTTGGCTGAAGTCACGCTTTTCAACCACACTGGGCGAGGCAGTAAAATTAAATGTTAATGTTTGTTAGGAATCGAACCCCCGACGTGTGGGACTGTTCTACACGGCTCCGCTCTGATGGCCTCGAACCGTTCCACAAAAGAAAGGAAATCGAAAAAAAAAATTGAGATGCCGGTATTCGAACACCGCACTGTGCAAATGTTACAGATGTTCGATCGCATTTGCACAGTGCGGTGTTCGAATACCGGCATCTCAATGTTTTTTTTTTCGATTTCCTTTCTTTTGTGGAACGGTTTGAGGCCATCAGAGCGGAGCCGTGTAGAACAGTCCCACACGTCGGGGGTTCGATTCCTAACAAACATTAACATTTAATTTTACTGCCTCGCCCAGTGTGGTTGAAAAGCGTGACTTCAGCCAACGAACTGCATGTGCCGTGGTGGTCTAGGGAGTAGAGGCGTCGCTTCTCCGTGCTGAGGTCGGCGGTTCGACTCCCCAAACTTCTTGTGAAATTTTGACCGGGTCGGTCCATTCCTGTCGCGTCAAGAGCCCGCCTCACGCCGCTCCATTCGTCTTGGGCCGTGGTGGGCGAGCGGCAAAAGTCGTGCGGTCCCGGCAGTAGGGTCCTGGGATCGACTCCCATCATTTCATTACATTTTTCGACTGGCTTCCTTCCACTGCAACTCAAACCCGTCGTCCAACACGACGCCAGACGTACAAGCTTGATAGCGTAGTGGTCAGAGTCACATTCACCTGGCCACTCCGCTGGGGTGTCTAAAAAGCAACTGCGCTTCGGCGGGTTGGCCTCGGCACTGGAGCGACGGAGTATTTGATCCGTCAATCCAGCCACCCGTAATTGGTCGCGGGTGGGTCCTCCTGATTCGTCGGGAGGAGATGATAAGTCCTTTGAAGCTGGCCCTTAAACAAGCTGTATGTTTGGTAGAGAGCGCCGGACAGCGGGTGTACATTGGTACAGACCACCCCGCGAAAAGCAAAGGCTCTCAAGGCAGAGAGAGACTGTCAAACCCGCCCTTCAAGCCCGGCCCATATACAGACGAGAACCCCTGGGGTCGCCGCCTGTAAAGCACCGGTTCCCCCGATCCACCGAAGTTGCAGGCGGCCCTCCGATCTCGGAGGTGGGAGAAGGGCCCCCCTTTTTTCTTCTTTTTTTTCGATTTTTGTATCCGGGGGGGGGGGATGCATTGCGCCTAGGCTTTTTGTATCCCCCTCCGGCCGGCCGAGGGGATACTCCTCGCCTAGGCTCTTTGTATCCGGGGGGGATGCATTGCGCTTAGGCGACGTGCATCCTCCTCCGGCCGGCGGGGGATACAATAAGCCTAGGCAAAATGTACCCCGGGGTACATTTCGCCTAGCCGCATTGTACCCGGGGTACAATTCGCCTCGCACCTAGGCGCATTGTACCCCTGGGTACATTGAACCTAGTCGTCATGTACCCCAGGGTACTATGGCCCTAGGCGTTGTGCACCCGGGGGTACTCTGCGCCGACGGGTACAGTTCGCCTCCTACACCGGCATTAAAACACCATGTGAAAAATCATTTCCGTCTCGAGGCCTCCGCTTCCTTGGCTTCCTCGACCTCGCCGGAGTTCCTGGCGCTGCCGGCGCTGCACAGTGGGCCTGTGGAAGCGGCCAAAATCCCGGACGCATTTTGAGCTCCAGAGTCGCCGAATGGGACTCGAACCGAACGTGTGACCCCACCAATGGATTCCTCGTTCGGAGAGCAATCCATTGGTGGGGTCACACGTTCGGTTCGAGTCCCATTTAGCGACTCTGGAGCTCAAAACGCGTCTAGAGTTTCGGCCGCCTCCACTGGTCTTCTGGCCCACTGTGCGCTGGCGTCCCCAGACG